CCTCCGTGTCCCTGACTTGGTAACCTCTCTCCAGCACCACGGGATATCTGCCAGCACGGGTGCTCGGTCTTAGTAGGCATCATGTGTCCAGAGCCGGTCTGGGCAGAGTTGGCACAGTGCCAAGCCCGTCAAGAAAGTTCTAACAGGACCCTTTCACCCACTCCAGTGTGTCCTGAGGAGCCCGATTTCTTAGACCAGCAGGGCCAGCTGTCCTTTGCCCAAGCCCCGGCCCCTGGCTCCAAACGGCCGGCAACCCCCAACCGGACTGAACGTGGGCCGGCCGCCCGCCTTTCCTCGGCCCTGACGCCCCCGCCATTCCCTACACACGCCACCCTCTCCCCGAGACCCCTCCCTTCTCTGTCCGGTCCCGACGGTTTCCCTCGGCACTGCCAGTCACCGCTGGGGCAGTTCCGGGGACGGAGGGGGCGGTACAGCCTAGTTACCAGCCGCCCGCCCCCTCGGCTCCCGCCCGCGCGCCGCCACCTGGGCGCACTCACCGCGCTTTGAGCTCCTTGAACTCCTCGCGCACTTTGCTCAGCTCCAGCTGCAGGCGGGCGCGCTCCTTGGCCACCGAGTCGAGGGTCTTGCGGGCATCCCCGAGCTCGGCCTCGTAGGCGGCCTTGATGCCCGACACCTCGCGGCTGACCACCTCCTCGGACTCGGTGATGCGGAGGCGCAGCCCCGCGTTCTCCGTCTCCAGCGAGCGCACACGGTCGATGTAGACCGCCAGGCGGTCATTGAGCTCCTGCAGGTCCTCCTTCTCCTGCAGCCGGGTGATGCGCGTAGGCGACAGCGGGGTGGAGCTGGCCTGCGCCCCGCTGCGGGTGGCGCGCCGCTGGGACGGGGTCTCCATGGCCGGCAGGGTGGCAACGCTGCCCGCGGGGCAGAGGTCCCGGGAAGGGCGCGGGGCTCGGGCCGAAGGGCAGAGACTGCTGGGGTCGGAGCGCGCCGGCCGGCTGGCTCGCTCCTGGCAGGCGTGGGGTCTGGGCCGGGTGCTGTCGGACCTCGGAATTCGGGTGCGCGGCTGTGGCTGCGGCGCTCCCGCGGACACTCTGAGTCACCGACGCCGGGCCGAGGCTCTAATAGGTCTAGGGAGTGGGAGGAGGGGCCGCCGCTCTTAAAGGGGCCGCCGCACACCCGCGGCGGGAGGTGAGGGGGCGGCGCGGAGGGGCGAGGGCCGCCGGGCGGTGGCCGAGCGGGGCTCCGCCCGTCTTGATTCTGCCTGCTCAGGGCTCTCGGCTTCAAGCTTGCCCCCACCCCACCGTCTCGGGCCTTCGTGGGTAGGAGGCAGAGCCAAAGGGTGAGAGTGGGTGGGCAAAGAGCAGTGGGGCGGC